GATCATGAATCATCCTGTTTCGTCAGAACCAAAAACTCCAAGTAATAAGCAGAAATTTCGAGAGACCATCTTGTGAGCCTTTAACCATAATATCAGCAGTTGTTTGTATGAATCCTCTAAGGTAGGTATTTTTCTGTAACATTGGGAAATGGTTAATTAGGGATCGATGAGTAGAGGGCCAGTAGAGTAGAACATGACATAGGTCCTCCGTTTAGTGATCACAAAAACAACATTGAGGGTCGATATTAATTTTCCTTTTCATCAGATTCTGTTTTGAAGGCAAAATCTCATGACAAGCTCTCCAAGCAAAAATCTTTACGTTTTAAGGGATTTTAAGTCACCATAAAGTATCCCAGAATTTCTTTTTTCAGGCCCATTTGATGAGTTGCCACGATCAGGAGTAAGATATGTTTTGAAGTAGCCATATGCACTGCTAACCGAATAGACTCCAGTTTTTTCATGTTCCCACAACTAGACGTCCTCTTCTCCTGAGTGGCTAGGATGTAATTTCAAGATAGCCTCAACAATTTTTAGATTGAACAGAGTTTTAAGCTTGGCCTACTTTGAGTGAGGATCAATCAGTGACAACACAAGATAATCAAGCTGCTGGTTATCATTTTGCTATAAGTTTATCCCTAGCTCCCTACACAGTTTTGCCACTCCAGGGATCCATTTATCATTCAGGATATGTATAGTGTTGCCATTTCCCACCACCCTTCTTCCTCTGTGTATCAGTAGATTTTTTGCCTCCCAAATTTTGCGCCAAGCATAGGAAGGATTGCCTCCTATAGATGCTTTCAGTACATTGCCATCAGGAAAATAACGTGCCGAGTATACTTTATGAAGCATATTGTCCTTGAGTTTCAAGAGTCTCTATGCTTGTTTACCAAGCATAGCCATGTTGAAGATCTCAAGCTCCTTAAACCTATCCCCCCCATGGATTTTGATTTACACATCACATTCCATGATTGCCAATGGATGTTTATCTCATCCTTTTGTTGACCCCACCAGAATCGGGCCATCATCCTTTCAATATCAGTGCATAATGTGGACGGGAGTTTGAAACAGCTCATGGCATAGGAGGGAATTGCTAAGGCCATTGATTTAAGGAGAACCTCTCTTCCTCCTTGGGAGAACATATTATTCTTCCATCCTTGCAATTTCTTCCATACTTTACGTTTTACTTCAGAGAAGACTCGAGCTTTTGATCTACCCACCATAGGTGGTAGTCCCAGATGCTTTTCATATTGCTGTAGTTGAGGAGCATGCCATAGGGCCATTGATAGGAATGTAAAATACACATTTTACATATTTATTTAATGCGCTCATATGATTATTTTATGCCTAAATGTACTTAGTATTCTCATATTTTGGTTTAGGTGGCAATTCGATGGATATGGTGTA